ACACACACACACACACACACACACACACACACACACACACACACGCAACAGCAGTAGCAGCGGCGGCGGCAGCTTCCTCCCTTCCCTTTTTTCTTCCACTGTGGTTGAGCCCTTATTCCCTGCCAGCACCGGATACTGTTATAGGAGCCAGGGGCATCTCAGCTAATGGACCAGTCCTGCACCTGTTCTTTACCCCTTCTCTTTTGAAGCCAACATCCTACATGTGGCTGCCATCCTCAGAGTTACTTCCTGGTCCATCATGGCCACTGCAACTCCAGTCACGTTCGCAGACTAGAGCAAAAGAGGAATAGCAAAAGGCAAAGAGTGTGCCTTATAGACAAGACAAGTGCCTTCTGCTCATACCTTACTGGATTAAAAAAAAAATGTTTTTTGTTTTTTTACTTGGGGGCTGGGGATGTAGCTCAGTTGGTAGTGTTTGCTTGGCATATATTTAGCCTTGAGCTCCACCCCCCAGCGTGTCATCAATCAGGTGTGGTAACACACAAATGTCATCCCAGGAGTGGAGCAGTGCAAGCAGGAAGGTCAAAGATTCAAAGCCACCATCGGCTACATAGAGGGTAATAGCCAGCCTGGGCTAGAGACTCCATCTTAAGAAACAAGAGAGTGGGGAGAGAAAAAAGAAAGAAAAGCCTTGGTTCTGTTAACCAACTAAAAGAACTAAGACAGGCCAGCAGAGGTGTCGACTCTGCCTTGCTTATCTTTCAACTGATGGGTATATGAGATCTTTCCAACCTGGAGATACGACTGAGTAAACATGCCCAGTGAATTCTTAGACAAGTCTGTTTTTTTTTTTTAAAAAAGAAGTGTGGCGTGTTTGTGTGTATTCATGGATGTTCATGCACATTCCTGCATGTGTCTGGGGAGGCACAGGGACTTCAAAGTCTTCTTCAATTGCTTTTCACTTTACTCACTAAGGCAGAGTCTCCTAAATAAATGCAGAGTTCACCTAATACAGCTGATCTGGCTCCGTCTTCAGAGTGCAGGTCTTAGGTCAGTGCAATGCCCACTCATAATTTACACGAGTGTTAGAGGTCTGAGCACCCGGGCAATACACACTTTACTCACTGATCCATCTCCCTACCCTCTTTTCTTTCTTTTTATTGTGGGGAGGGGAGCCGGACATTTCTCCTCAGTATATACCCAGGAGTGGAATTTCTGGGTCACTGGTTAGGTATCCATTTGGTTGATAAAATGGCAAAGCATCTCTGGAGACAGCCACAAGCGTTTATATTCTTCCAGCAGTCCCGTCAAGGATACTTTCCGTGTGCTTACTGCTCAAGCCATGCACATCGGATGAGAAATTCGGAAATGAGATAGCACATCTGGAAACTTTCCTGTGGGAGCTGTGTCACTGAGGAGTCAAGGCATCGACTAACAGGCTCTCCCTGAGTTTTGTGGGACAGGGACGGCTTATCAACCTTAGCCCCAGTTTCAATGGATCAAGAGATCATTTTCTCTCGGCCTGTAACTCAAACCACGGAGATGAGGCGAGGAAAGGCGGCCTCGGAAATGGGAACCTGTGCCAAGCTCATTCATAACAAGTATTCCTTACCCACAATACCCATCACCATACCAAACACAACGGGGAAGAGGAAGGATGTGGAAGATTCCGTTCCTGTTCTCTCAGTCTCTTGATCTCAGTCTCCCTCACCATACAGGCAACAACTCTTCCTCGGATGTGAAGGCAGACTCACGGGTCTGACGGCTGCCTTTTGACCTTTGACCTTTGTGTTCTGTCCTGCCTACTCTCTCTGGGCCACCTCACCTGAGCCAGAGAACATGGGACTCATGGAAGCAGTGTAGGTAAGTCCGCCCCCTGAGAGCAAACTAGTGATGGAGGAACCAGCAGAAACTTCCTGGCCCAGGAAACTGCCTCTCCCACTTTTCGTGCCTAAGATTGAACATGTGACCCAGAACTGGACTGTTGAAATATCCCAGGCCCCCTCTCAAGAAAGAGATTTAAAGATGTGACATAACCAAACCTATACCAGTGAGATACACGGTGAACCTTTTGCAGACAGCATGGAGGAAGAAACCAGTTAGAGATGGAGAGAAAGGGTTAAGAGCCGGCGGTGTAGCTTCAGGACCTGGGTTCAGCCATTCCTGAAGCCTTGGACTTTCCTGTTAGTTCATCCAGTATGCTCCACGTGTTGAATTACATGGAGAGAGGTTGGGGGAAAGAATGGGAGGGAGGAGGAAGGAGAGAGTAGAAAGAATAGCCAGTAGGACTTGTTAAATTCTTACTGGAAAGACACTGTTCTGTCTACATATCCACAGTCCTAGTCACTATTTTTGTGCCACGCCCTTGCCGTCTGTACTACCTATAGAAACCCTCCACGTGTATCTTCTCCCTCTACTTACCAGCACATCATCGGTACAGGTAACATTCTGTAACCCCCGTCTCCTCTCTTGGTAGGCTCCGTGAACCGTCCCTACAAACGAAGTGTGCAAGCTTGAGCCAGGGTTTTAACTAAAAGTGGCTCAGAGCCCTTCCTAAGCTCCTAGATCTCATGCGTCCCTGAGCAGGGCTGGAGAATGCAGCTGTTCCCAGATGAAATGACTTAAAACTCTGTCGTGTGTGTGTGTGACATATACATATCTGTGCACACACTTACACATGTGCGTGCACACGCATTGAAGAGTGCTCGTGCACATACGACCGTGGGGATCAGAAATTGATCTTGGGTGTCTTCCTCAATTGTTCCCCATTTACTTTTTATTACTTATTTTGAGACACTGTCACTCACTTGAACCCAATATTTAACCAACTGAGTCATCTCAGAAACTGTGTTCAGAGAACCTCAGAGGGGGAAACATTTCTATGCTTCCTAGTGTGAATATAGAAGTCACTCTCCATAATTCTTCCAGGAAAAAAGTGAAGAACTTAACCTGTTAAGTTTGGTCAGGAGCCTTCGGGTGGCAAGCTGCAGAAACTACCTAAAGCAAAAGGGATACAACTCTGTGGTCCTGCTGGGGACACTATCGGAACCACTCTGATGATGATGCTACGCCCTGCATTTTGTGCCCATGACTCTCAATGGGTGACCCCCTTGTTTCATTTGTCATACGAAGGGTCTTGAATAAGTGATAAAAGCTGATTTTCTATTTATTAGTTGTTTATTATTTGGAAGGGCAGCCATGTGGAAGTCAGAGAGAACACTTGCAGGAGTTCTGTCTCTCCTTCCATCACGTGGCTCTGGGGTTGGGAGCAAGCACTCTCAGCGCTGAGCCATACCACCCTCCTAGCAGAGCAGATCCCTTCTAGCGGGAGCTGAGAGTTTTCCAGCTCTGTACCATTCACCCAGTCTGTGAGCTGGAGGAAGTCACAGCTCCCTGACAGGCTGGTCTCAGCAACAGTAATTAAAATTAAAATGCCAGCCAGCCTCGGTGCTACTACTCGCACAAACCTCGACCTAGGCATAATTAATGTTCCGTTATCTCCAAGGGAGACAAAAAAGACTGTGTGGAAAAGCAAACGCAAATATCATTAATATTGCACATCTGTGCTGGGTGCAATGGAAGGAGAGGTGGGGCGGGTGCAGTCACACACCTGGTGACACCCACAGCTCGGCCACGTCGCCGTCGCCTCTCCTGGGCGACTGGGGCTGCGAAGCGCGGTCGGGCACATCCGGGTGCTGGGTTCCCAGGAGGCTACCCCGGGTGAAGCTCCCAGGAACTCTCCCTGAGAAGTTCCTAGTATCCCCGCTAGCTGTTCTTGTCACCGTCACGTAAGGTCAGCAAGAAGAGAGAGCAAAGGTTTCTGGGTCGCGGGGGATACGAAAGGGTCATCACAGGTCCCGTTTTGGAGGTCACCTTAAAGCCTCTTCCTAAGGGTTCCGACCCAAGTTCTTCACAGCCAGTGCCAGAGAGCCAGGAGGAGCAGGCGAATGCGCGCGCGCAGAGCCCACCCCGCCCCCGGAGCCCCGCCCACCACCCGGGGACTCCCGCCCATCCAGCTGTCAGCCCCGCCCTCCTGTCTGTGCGCCGGCGCAGCGCTCCCTGGGCGCGAGGAACCCAGGGAGGGCGCGAGGCGCGCGGGCCCGGGAGCGCGCGCGACGCCGGCAACCTCGCTCGGCCCCAGGTCACCTCCCGAGTCACCGGCTGGGGCAGCCGCTGGGGCCGGCGTCGAGGGCGTGGTGGCTCCGGGCAGTGGGGGTTTGTCCGCCCCAGGCCGCGCTCGTTGCCCCCGGGCCTCTCCCCTCGAGCGCACAGGTGAGTCTCCCCTTCGCAGGGCGGGGCCGGTTCGCGGCCGCTCAGAACAGGTTTACAGCAGCTCTGGGCGATGGATCCCCAGGACCCCTGAAAGTTAAAGCAGCCTCAGCTACATCAGCAGCTGCCCAGATCCTCCAGGAGCCCCGTAGACTTGCTAAGGACCAGCCGCCTAGTCCCCAGGATATTCCCCGGCAGCTTCAGGGTGATGTCCTGCAAAACACCCCTCGCCCCCAGGTCCTTTCTTCTCCATCAGCTGTTGACTTTTTGAAAACTGTCAGGCCCAACCTGCCCCCGAGGGCAGGAAAGGTGTGGCTAGTAAAACGGAGATGGCAGCAGGTGGAAGCCCCACTCCACTCCCTTTTCCCCTCCCCCAGGATGCTGGAATCGTTGCGCTTCTCTGCTTGCTTGGCTTCTAGAAACTTGTCCGCTTCCTCCTGTACCATCGCGCCTTCAATAGCTGTCTGTTACCAGGTTGCCTAGTTTCAGCTTCTGTGCGAAATCATCATCTCCTCTGGGGATTAAGATTCTAGAGGCTCACGTCCATGTTTCAGATTCAAACTAGGATTATGTAGATTGATGTTTTATTGTAGGGTTTAAAGCCAAAAAAATATTCGCGTCCGGATATTGAAAGCTATCTAGTACAATACCTTTACTTGAACTTTTCGTAGAAGTCTCTCATCGACTATTTGACCAGAGAAGTAATTGGCCATCTGTAGCTGTGATCTGCGATTACTTTAAAATGTTATTTTAAGAACTGGGTGTGGCACACGTTTATAATATCAGCAAATGGGAGGCTAGTCTGGCCTCATAATAAGGCCCTGTCCAACAAAACAAAAAGACAAAAAAACCCTCTATTTTAACACTATGCCATTACCTCTGGACCAATATATCATTATTTGATCCTGTGAGATGGCTCAGCAGATACAGACACTTGCTGCAGAGCCTGACAGTTGGAGTTCCCAGATCCCAGGGACCCATGTGTTAGAAGGAGAGAACCAACTTCTGTAAGTTGTCCTCTGACCTATGCCTGAGTGTCACCGAGGCCACAGTCAAACACACATACAAAAATTCCATAAATATATTTTAACAAAATAGTATGACTGGAGGGATGGCCGCTGTTAAGAGCACCTACTGCTGCTCTTGCACAGAACTGGGATCGGATTCCTAGCACCTGGATGTAACTTCAGTTCCAGGTGATCCCACCCCTCGTCTGGCTTCTCAGGGCTCATGCACACACCTGATGCACACACACTCACATGTAAGCACACACATACTCGTAAGTAAGCAAAAAGCCAGAATTTAAGAATATGTTAAGTCCCAGAGTCTGGGTGTGTGTTCAGCGTGCACAGTTGTTCATTTTGATGGGGATTTTACGTTCGCATTCAGTTATACATTAGATTATGAAACGTGGGAGGATTATGAAAAGGCTGAAATCAGTATCCTGTCACTCTTAGCTCCAGCTTCACAGTTTGCTTCATTGGCAAGCAGTTTCCAAGGGAGGAGGTTTTTAGTGCTTTTCGAGAACACATTTTTTTTTTTTTTTTACTATTCAATCATGATATATTTTAAGGCATGTTCACTGACCCATGAGAGGCAATACCGCATGATGTTACGAGAAATGTGGGGCCAAAACGGGACAGGCATGAAGACACTATGACTAAGAACTCCAGACCTGCTGCCCAGGCGGTGATGGCAGTCTTCCATGTTTAGTAGCACTTGGCCCAGCTCCAAAAACCTACACAAAACTCAACTTGGCCTGGAGAGATGTAGCTCAGTGGTAAAGCGCTTGACCAGCATGCTCGAAGTCCCAGGTTCAATCCTCAGTATGAAAACAGAAAAACAAAACATCCTCCAGCTACTGAGCTGGGATCGCATTGCCCTGGAGTGAACTGGTTCTGCTCAGGGGTCTGAATTACAAGCAGCAAACCAAACAGTGTCCGCAGTGCTCCACAGCCCTGTCAGGCAGTGCTTCCATTTTGTCTTTCTCATACTGACACATGGAGCAGGAACGCCACTGATGATAGGAACAGTGATTGATTATCAATAAAAATGCTGTGACTTTAGGTCCCAAAGACACTCAGAATACAGAAATGTAATTTTTAAGTTTTTAAAGGTTTATGCGTTTGAGTGTTTTGTCTGCTTGTTATATATGTGCCCCAGGCATGCCTGGTGCCCTCCGAAGACTGAGGAAGGAATCAGCTGCCCTGGGGTTATTGATACGTGCTGGGAATTGAACCCAGGTCTTCTGCAAGAGCAAAGCCATCTCTGTAGCTCCAGAAAGATAACTTTTAAGAATTCACTTTTTCAGTTGTGTCTGTGTGTGTCTGTGTGTGAGTTTATGCACACGAGCACATATATCTGTGGGGTGAGAAGATGACATTGGATCCGATGGAGCTGTAGTTACAGGTGGTTGAGAGCCACCAGAGGCAGGAGCTAGGAACTGAACTCTGGTCCTCTGAAAGAACAGTATGTGCTCTTAACTGCTAAGCCATCTCTTTAATCCCCCAAAATCTAATCTTTATAACCAATTTTACATTAATGTTCCACCAACTTTATTGTGTTGATTCTTGTCACTACTACTACTGAAAAGAAAAAGTATTAGAAGTCTACCTGTGAGTGCCTGATGACAAACAGAAGAGGAACCACGGGAGACCAGAACCCGGTGCTCACAGGAGGTCAGTTTCAAGCAAATCTGGCTAAGAGATTAGAATGTTCCCCGAGTTAGGAAACATAGTGTTTTTTTTTTTTTTTTTGACAAATTCTAGAGGAGAAAGAATTCACCTTTTCCTTCTCAGCTGAAATTGCTTGGCATTCAGCCCTGATGGCTTAGCTTTGTCCCTGGGCTGGTGCAGCAGAGCAGACGGTCATGGTCCTTGGAGGTTTCCCACTCACGTAATGTTTGCATGAGGAAACTATATGCCGGAAGCCAGCTAGGACCCCATCAGCACAGGTGGGGATTGCAACCGTTGCAGGAATCACAAATAGAATCTTTGTGCTGGGGACAGAACCCAGGGCCTCCTGATGCCAGGCAAGGGCTGGAGGTCTGAGTCGTGACTTCAGCCCTGTAGTGACTGCTCATTGCCCTCATGAAACCAAGGTTAGCTTATTTCTGTCCATGCTTCTCTTCACAATTTAAACTTTGTTTAGAACGTCAGGAAATTCCAAAGTGATTGACAGTGGGAACTTAAAAACAAAACAACAAAGCTCTCATGTATTTTCATCAAGACAGCCGATATCTACCTGGTAATGTCTGATAATGTATGCATTCCTTTGTGATATAAGTTTCTGTAGGGCTCATACAAAGGCCTAGTGGTCTTTCCCAGGCATATTTTAAATGTTTTCACACTAGAAGGAGATAACCAGCTCAGTCTCTGGATAGACACTCCCTGTTTTTCTTGAGGTCATACAAAATGCTAGGGGTTTCCCTCCCTTTATATTGTGATTTGCTCAGATTGTTTTTCCCTTTCTCACTCCATGTTCTAGTCTAAATATCAGTTCTAACAGCAGTTCTGGTACTGTTTGAGTCCTCTCGACCAACAAGGAAACTCATACCATGCTTGTGTTAAATAGTTGCTGAGCATGGCCATGTGCAAGCATTTACTCTGACTACTAGCATTTATTTCTCCTAACATCTTTATTGTACATTTTACACTTAAGGAACCAGATACAAAACCAAGGCAGGTTTGGTGAGATGGGTCAAAGGGTAGAGGCACTTCTTGTCAAGCCTAACACACCCTATGTTCCACATGGTAAGAGAAGCAACTCCTATAAGCTGTCCTCTGACTGACACACACACACACACACACACACCACCACCACCACCAGAAATAGATGGGTAATAAGATAAGTGGAGTGATGTGTCTGAACAGAGTCCTACAGGCCCAGAGTTCCAGTGTTGAAGATCTGAAGATGGATCCCGACCTCTTCTGGGGATACTTGAGGATTGATCAGATATGTTCACAGTTCTGTGTATCTGCACACTTTTTAAGAATATAAACATGTAAGTCTTGGAACAAGATTACTTAATGATCATCTAATTTGATCTGGGCTTGGTGGGATAGGCCTATAATCCCAGCTAATGGGGAAGCTGAGGCAAGAGGATCAAAGTTCAAGGCCTCAGGACTAGAGTTCTGAACCATCTGGCTCAGCGGTTAAGAGCACTGACTGCTCTTCCAGAGGTCCTGAGTTCCATTCTCAGCAACCACATGGTGACTCACAACCATCTGTAATAGGATTTGATGCCCTCTTCTGATATGTCTGAAGACAGCTACTGTACTCATATACATAAAAATAAATTTTTAAAAAGGTTCAAGGCTTACCTTCGCTAAAGGGGGTATTCAGAGCCAGGCTGAACAACTTAACCTGAGACTCTGTCTCTGTCTCAAAATACGGGCATAGAGAGGGCTGGGAAACAGCACAGAGGTAGAACACTTGCCCAGTATGTAGGAGGCCCTGAGTCCAGCTTAGTGCCACAGCAAGGGTTTTGCTGTGTATGAAAGGGATCTTGTGTTCATGCTGACTTGGGAACATTTATATTATAGTATACTTTGTAATAGTTTTTAAATAATTTTAAAAGGGTAACTGGATGTAAAGATGTGTTGTTTTGTCAGAGACAGTATCTCCCTGTAACCCAGGCAGGCCTGGAACTCACTCTGGAACCCAGGCTGACCTCAAACTTGGGGCAGTCCTCCTGTCTCAGGCTCTTGAGTTCTGATTACAGACATGAACCACCACGCCTAAGCCCATTTTTATCCTTTCTTTTTGAAGTTGTATCAAAAGAAAGTTAACCCACATTGAAGATAGAAAAACAGGAAATGAAGATACAACATTCTAAATCAAGCGAAGGATTGTTCCCTATGCTGTTTTTATTTCATTCTCTGTCAGATTGGAGGAAGGACCTTGAAAAGAGAAATAATTGTCAAAAGTAGACTGGGCCGGGGCCGGGGCCGGGGCCGGGGCCGGGGCCGGGGCCGGGCCCGGGCCCGGGCCCAGTAGTAGAGGATGGTCTAGCATGAGCAAGGCCAAGCTTTTGATCCTTTGTGCTGCACATGTGTAGGCTGAAAATGGGCTGGCTTTCCTCCCTGCCCCCAGCCCCAAGGAGCCCCGCCTGCCTGGCACTGATGAAGAACTCCTGGAGATCCATCAGCCTCTGCCTCCTGAGCGCTAGAATTAAAGGCATGGACCACCAGGCCCAGCTTTCTTACATCTTTTTTTTTTTTCCTAAAATTTTTTTTTTCGAGACAGAGTTTCTCTGTGTAGCCCTGGCTGTCCTGGAACTCACTCTGTAGACCAGGCTGGCCTTGAACTCAGAAATCCGCCTGTCTCTACATCCCAAGTGCTGGGATTAAAGGCATGCGCCACCACTGCCCGGCTCTTACATCTTTTAAGAAGCAAAATAATAATAAAATAGAGAATTACAAAAAATAGAAATAGCTAATGCCTCTAACAGACAAGTTTTAAAGAGCCCACTCTTTGTGCTCGGGGTAAGCTAGACTGGTTCCTAAGCCACACAGCCTTCTGACATTCCTGCTCTTCACTTTGAGCACGCATGCTCGGTGCCAGGCTGCGCCCCATTCTTTGCCTGATGGCATCCTCCACAACCCCCTTGGGAACCCATCTCTAATTCCTAGAATTGTCTTCCGTCGGTGCTGACCGCCAGTGACTCGAAGCTCAGAGCCGTCTGCTTTTGTTCGGCTGCCCTTTCTAAGCAGCTATGAGTCAGAAACTATGACAGGACCCCGGAATTTGAAGGCATGGGAAGTCTGGTTGCTAGGTGCGATTTTTTAAACAGTCATGTAAGCTTAGAGCAGAAGGGAGCGCAGCATTGTGAATGTCCAGCCTCTCCCTCATAAAAGCCACAGTGAGACACGTTTCTGGGAACTTCCTTCAAACATGAAAGTAGCTGTCAGCTGTAGAGGGTGAAGCCACCAAGGGGTGGGGCGGCTCAGAATTGCTTGGAGACATGGTATACTTGAGTATATCCCATGCTATGCTGTGCAGATCCAGTTCTTATTCCCCCTTCATGGCTGAGGAGCGGTTCTGTGAAATGCAACATGGTACTGTCACATGGGGACACAGAATCAGGACACCAAGCTGAGAACTAAGAAGCTAAGGAAGGGGTGTCAGGATGTGCACTGCCAACATGGGCTCTGGGGCCTGGGGGGCCTTCGTGTCAGTAGTGAGGGGAATTGAAGCCAAGAGAGACTGGCAGCCAGCTCATGACAGTAAGTTATGGCGGGAGTGCTGTGGAGTAGCCAAGCGAGGTGAATGAGCTCACTCTCCAGGAAGCAGGCAGGAAGAGAAGCAGGAGGATGAAGGCAAGGGAGAGCAGAGGGTGGGGACCCCAACACAACAGGCTCCTGTGCCATGGAAGAGTAGCATTGGAGAAGTGGATAGTGTGGCAGACAGTAGGATGAGGCCCGCTGGGGAATGTGACTGGCTAGCCTACAGGAGAACTGTTTGCCCTGCTGTCCCCAGTGCCCAGCAGTAGGTGCTCAGATATTGACAGAAACTAGTATAGATGCTTTAAAAAAAAAAAAAAAAGATTGTCTTGAGTGCTGTAGACTAATGAGAAACTGCTATTTTTATTCCATAGTTAATAACCAGTAGGAATTGTAGTCTGTGTGCACAATGTATCTACAACCTTGTGTCCTTACAAATGGAAGGGGATCTTAGAAGCACAGTCATAGTAACCATGACCACTAAGTGTCCTGCCACCCCTGGGCTTTCTTCAGTCCCATCTTGAAATATGTCACGTCCAAAGGGCCACTGCATGATGAGTGTGGAGTGGTTCTCTGAAGAGCCAGACATAGGCATACTGTCCCAGGATTTTACAGAGGGACAGTATCGGCCCTTGGCCTCTGGCAAGAGGCACAGTGTCTAAAAGTTCAGAAGTGCACCCCCTGGATTGTTCCCCAGCTTAAGTTGTGTGCTGTATATGCTTGCATTACGTGTTCATGAACACCTTTTAAAGGGAACCCGGGGGCCTCGGTAACTTAATTACTTAAGAGTCTGCTCAGAAAAACCAGGCTGGGTAAGGAAGGCAGAGCCTCACAGACGGCATCTCAGGGTGCAGATGGCGAGCAGATCGTGTGGGTGTGATTCTGCTGGGCCACTTCCAGTGTTTTCCACCTAAAACCCAAAACAAATATGTGAAGGCCGAGCTGGCTCCCACCTTCCCTGTCTCTGCTTGTAAACTCAAGGACATACTGATGTGAGCACTCCCACTACCCTTTCCATCCGCTTCCACGGGAAAGCACTTGCTTTCTTGCCTTTTTTTTTTTTTTTTTTTTTTTTTTTTTGCTTCATATTTCATTGTCCCATAAAATCTGCTAAGCAAATCAGATTTGTAGACAGAAAACTCACTCAGGAGAGCTGGAGCTAACTTAAATACTGATTGATCTTTCCTGGATTACATCGTTTTGCTTGATGAATTGCTGTCTTGAGAGATAGCTTGAGTGCCACATTACAAAGCCTTCATGGTTTTTTTCCCTTGGTTCTTTTTTTTTTTTAAGCAATATCTGGCAGGTATCCTAGAACTTTACCCACAGAGAAAATGCTACGAGAAAGCCTGAAATCTTGGAATGACAGCCAGTCAGACCTCTGTAGCAGTGACCAGGAGGAGGAAGAGGAGATGGTCTTCGGTGAAAATGAAGATGAGTTGGAGGAAATGACGGACCTGAGCGATCTGCCCACCTCCCTTTTTGCTTGCAGTGTCCACGAAGCGGTGTTTGAGGTTCAAGAGCAGAAGGTAGGCGCACACCCTGTCCCTGCGCTCACACCGTGGGAAGGGAAGATCGATTTGGTCCCTGAGCCCGTGACGTGACATACACAGTGTGTGCCGCGCTGGCCCCTCCCTGTGCCTTAGGAGAGTCTCAGTGTGCCACCGACAGGCATAGTTCAGAGCCGTCCTCTCATTGCGCTTGAACACTGGCTTCTAGTGAACTCTAAATCAAGGCACAAAGAGTGCACTTTTCATTCATTCATTTATTCATTGAGTTTTGGAGACTGTAATCGAAGAAAAGCTTTTTAAATATTTTACTTGAAGATATTAAATATACAGAATGTGTTTCGTTAGCGCATTTTATTTGTGTACATGACGTGTTTCTGCTCTTGGGTACCTTTCCTCCCTCCACTAATTCTGCCTTTACCCAACATGCTACTGTTGTTTGACAGAAGGACTTTGTAGCCCAGGAGGAACTGGCTGTGTGGCACAGGATGGCCTGGCATTGACTGTGTGGCTCAGGCTGGCCTGATATTGGCTGTGTGGTGCAGACTAGCCTGGGATTGGCTTGTGGCACAGGATGGCCTGGTATTGACTGTGTGGCTCAGGCTGGCCTGGGATTGGCTATATGGTTCAGACTGGCCTGGGATTGGCTGTGTGGTGCAGACTAGCCTGGAACTTCCAGTGAGCCTCCAGCTCTAACTCCTCAATGCTAAGATATGTCATAGGGTGTGTCACCACACCCAGCCTCCAAGTGCTTTTTTTTTTTAAAAAAGCTGGCTTTTTCCTCCTTTTCTCCCTCCTGCACTCACTAAAGAGGCAGTCTGGTTTTTTCCTGGGGTTTATTGGGACTATGAGGCTATGAGGAATAGCTGTTAGTTCATTGTTAACATTGCTTGTATTGCTCTTTGTGGTTTGAAAGGAAAAATGGATTGCCTTTTAAATTACTTATTATTTATTTGGAAAGTGTATGTGTGTGTCCAGCATGACTTCATAAAAGCCTACATACTTTTCTTTTTTCTTTTTTCCCTTTGAGACATAGTCTCACTGTGTGGCCTGGACGGACATCTGGGCAATCCTCCTCAGCCTTCTGAGCACTGGGATGTTCTAGTCTGTATGCAAAGAATTTCCCTTTCCGTGAGAGCGGTTCCCAGGCTGGCTTCCTTCCAGTGTCTTTGGGGACAGAACTGGATACATGCTCAAACACCTGCAGAGTAAGGCTCATGCTGATTGGTTTGGGAGATAGAGTTTGAATTTTGCAGCTTCTGAGTCACAGGGTGGATACTCCTGTAGTCCGTCTAGGAGTCAAGGAGACAGGTTTGCAGCCAGATTCAGTAAGTCTCTCACAGGGGCTTGAGGGAGACCTGTGAGAATTAGAATTTTAGCGAAGAAAGGAATCTTTAGCCAGAGGACACCAGATACACTAAGACTGATTCGGACAGCGTGAGGCAGGGGAGAGCAACAGGCATTCTGTAGGACACTCAGGCTGTCTGTGCCCCAGTCTAGAACACTGGGCTGAGGTGGATGCTGGGCCTTCCTGCAGAGCACTGTGATGCCAAGTGGAAGCTGGCTCTTATGTGGGGGTAGTCCTAGGGCTTCCGAGCAAAAGTCGGCAATAGAAACTGTACTGGGCTTAGGAGTGTGGTGGGGAGGCTCGGGCTCCTGCCTGGTGGTGAGAGCCTGTGCCAGGGGTAGAGGGTGGGGTGTATGTGTGTGTGTGTGGGGGGGTCAGTCACAGAGAGTTTCTTTGCAGGCTGCTTTATTTACAAGTGCTATTCCTTTGCTCAGTTCAGCCACGGTTGAGGAATCTGAATCATTCCTCCTGCTTTCTTGTTTTTTAAGAGCCCTGAATTTCATGTTAGAGACTTTTTTTTTCCCTTTGGTTTTTCGAGACAGGGTTTCTTTGTGTAGCCCTGGCTGTCCTGGAACTCACTCTGTAGACCAGGCTGGCCTCGAACTCAGAAATCTGCCTGCCTCTGCCTCCCAAGTGCTGGGATTAAAGGCGTGTGCCACCACTGCCCAGCTAGAGATGATTTGTGTGTGTGTGTGTAAGAAAGCACATGTATGGGCCCAGCTAGAGATGATTTGTGTGTGTGTGTGTGTAAGAAAGCACATGTATGGGCCAGGCGGTGGTGGCGCACGCCTTTAATCCCAGCACTTGGGAGGCAGAGGCAGGCAGATTTCTGAGTTCGAGGCCAGCCTGGTCTACAGAGTGAGTTCCAGGACAGCCAGGGCTACACAGAGAAACCCTGTCTCGAAAAACAAAACAAAAAAAGCAAAACAAAAATTATATCTAGCACTGGGCATGTACAGATTTAATCTCAACATATGGAAGACAGAGGCCAGTGGATCTCTGTTAGTTGGAGGCCAGACAGTGAGTTCCAGGCTATGTAAAGAGGTCCTGTCTCAAAGAGAGGGAGGGGGAGGGAGAGGGAGAGGGAGAGAGAGTGAGGAGGGAGAGGGAAAGAGGGAGAGAGAAGGAGGGAGAGAGGGAGAGAGGGAGAGAGAGAGAGAGAGAGAGAGAGAAAGAGAGAGAGAGAGAGAGAGGAAGGAAGAGAGAGGGAGAGGGGGAGAGGGAGAGGAAGGAGGAGGAGGAAGAAGAAGGAGAAGGAGAAGAAGAGGAGGAGGGAGAAGAAAGGGGAAAGAACGGCATTGTTTCTGTACTGAGTAGTTACAGATCTTCCCCATTCCTAAGCAGTGCGGTATAAAAGCTGCCTGCCTGGTTCAGGGTTGTAGCTCATCTAGCGGTGGTTTAGCATATTGGGGAGTGTGCTGTCCTTTGCCAGTGCTACCCTCTGTATCCAGTGCTTACTCTGCAAGCATTGTGGATCTAAGGGGATCTTAGGACCATTTTATCTTAAAATTATAGTCACAAGATTTCTTTGGGAACAGTGAGATGGCTCGCTGGGGAAGTGTTTGCTGCTCAGTCAGCCTGACAACCTCCCTAGAAACCCACAGAAAGGCACAGGTGAGTGTGGATGCGACCTCCACGTGAGTTCCATGCCTTCCACACCCAGCTGCCCACATTCCCACTTGTGCACACAAATAACAGTAAGTTTAAGAGAGAATCGGGGCAGAGCTTCACACCTATGAATCTGTTTCAGGGGTTTTCTCCTGGAAAAGTTTTGACTCCACAGAAGATTGAGTTCTTGTTGATTTTCTTTTGTTGGTGGTGCTTGTTTTGGGTTTTTTGTTTTGTTTTTTGTTGTTGTTTTGTTTATGTATATATGTGAGTGGATCCCCAGAGAAACCAGATGAGTGTAATGGATCCCTTGGAACTGGAGTTGTCGATGGTTGTGAGGCAGCTGCTGTGGATGGTGGAAAGAGAATCTGAGTCCTCTATAAGAGCAGCAAATGTTCTTAACCACTAGGACATCTCTTCAGCCCCGGTTTTCATTTTTAAAACCATCTGAATGTTATCTGTATCGCAGATTGTGTGTGAATGCTTGTGTGTCTGCACACATGTGTGTGCACACATGGCAGTGTGTTAGGGTTATTATTGCTATAATAAAACACTGTGACCAAAGCCACATGGGGAGGAAAGGGTTTATCTGGCGTACACTTTCACTTCACTGTTCATCCTTGAAGGAAGTCATGGCAGGAACTCAAGCAGGGCAGGAACCTGGAGGCAGGAGCTGATGCAGAGGGATATTGCTTACTGGCTTCCTCAGCCTGCTTTTTTTTTTTTTTAATAGAACCCAGGACAGAGGACTGTGTGAGACCTAGTCTTTAAAAAGCAAAAGGTTACTGGGCGTTGATGGCGCTCGCCTTTAATCCGAACACTTGGGAGGCAGAGGCAGGCAGATTTCTGAGTTTGAGGCCAGCCTGGTCTACAGAGTGAGTTCCAGGACAGCCAGAGCTATACCAGAGAAACCCTGTCTCAAAAAAACAAACAAGCAAATAAATAAATAGCAAAGGGTAGGAAGTGATTTCTCTGTGTTACATTGTGTGCACATGCTAAGTGGGTGTTGTTCAGGATCTGCAAGGAAGAAGTCATAGGAGACCTGGCCCAGTGTGTCCGATGGACAGAAGCCTGCAGACAAATTCCTATAACCTCCTATAACACAGCCAGAGACACTCCCGTAAGAGGAAGCACAGCAGCCATGCCTCTGTTCTGTGTACAGCCGTGTGTGTGCTGTCATACATCCCTGCAGTATCTAACAAAGCTAGCCATTTTACGTTGGTGCAGATTGCAGATGTGAGCAACCGACTCTGAACATCTGGGAGAAAGGATGAGCCGCAGCACACGGTATAGGGATGTTTGCCCGGCCTCTTCTCCTTAGAAGACCTCCCATTAATAGGAATATTTTGTCTTCCCTCCCGCTTCTCTCGGCCCTGCTCCTCCCCGTGCAGGAGAGATTTGAAGCCCTGTTCGCCCTCTATGATGACCAGGTCACATTCCAGTTGTTCAAGAGCTTTCGCCGGGTGAGGATCAACTTCAGCAAGCCGGAGGCTGCGGCCAGAGCGCGGATAGAGCTGCACGACAGTGAGTTCCACGGCCGGAAGCTGAAGCTTTACTTCGCACAGGTAACAGGGTTCTGTGGCCGCACCCCACAGCTGCCCCTCCTTTCAAACCCGTTACAGTTCCCCCCTGCAGCACAGGGTCAGAGGTTTGTGAAATCAGCAGTCACGAGAGCCGGGGGTGCAATGCTTTTTCTTAAACTTTACACATATGTAGTTTCATGTATTTTAGGAACATATTAACCCTTCTGTCTTTGTTTCTCTGAGACTAACAGCTAAGGGATTCATCTTTCTGGCAGTTTGGCTCAGCTAGGTCTTTGTGGAGAAAACCCCCTGACACTTTGGAGTCAGCGGATTAAACATTCTGTACATCTGAAACGCCACCGAGGATGTGACATCTGCAGGAAAACAGAGAACAAAACCTTCAAGGGCCGTCAAGATGGCCCAGGGGGCAAAGGTGCTTGCTACCAAGCCTGACAGCCTGAGTGTGATACCTGGAACTCGTCCATGGGTGGAAAGAAAGAACCGATCTGTGTCCTCTGTCCTGAGACAGGAGCTTAGTGTGTTAGTCAGCCATTCCCAGTGAGGTAGCTAGGGTTACCATTACTGTGATGAAAGCCTGTGACCAAAAGCACCCAGGAGACAAAACGTTTATCCAGTTTATGTAGCTTGAATCATTCATTGAGGGAAGCCAGGGCAGGAGCTCAGGCAGGGCAGGAGCCTGGAGCAGGCGCTGATGCAGAGGCCATGGAGGGTTCTGTTTACTGGCTTGTTCCCTCTGGCTTGCTCAGCCTGCTTTCTTATAGAACACAGAACCACAGTCCAGGGTGGTACCATCCACAGTGGGTAGGCCCTCCCGTATCAGTCAGTAAGAAACTGTTCCACAGGCATGCCTGCAGTCAGATCTTAGGGAAGCATTTTCTCAGCTGAGGTTCCCATCTCTTGATGACTAAAGCTTGCATCAGGTTGACATAGACTACCCAGCATACCCACTGTAACAAAACCTGAGAGGGTCACATGTAACAGAGTAAAGTCCTGGCTCATGGCTTGCAGGTTTCAGTCTGCATGTGATGGGCCCTTTTCCTGTGGGCCTGCTGTGGAGCTCATGTGCTGTGGGCACAGAGCAAAGCTCATCTCATATATCTCATTTGTGGGAAACAGGAAGAGCAAGGGGCGGGGGTCCCACTGTCCCTTAGGGTATGTCCCCATGGCTAACAGCCTCCCTGCCTCATAAAGGCTCCCAGTTTGACCTCTTGGGGGAGCAAGCCTCTGTCTACCATGTAGAGCCTGGGGTCACTGAGAGCCCAGACCACAGCCGTAGTCACCGCTGTGATTCTCTGTCTGTCTATACATTTGTTCTTTCTTTCACTTCACGTTTATCAAGAGTCCAGGGCCCATGGCCACTTCCAGTCCACCTGCTGGAAGGTCACAGACAGTTTGAGAGACAGTTTTAATCAACCCTCCAAGAAAGTAACAATTACCATAAAGTTGGAAATGAAAGCCCTCTCTCTGGTGGTAGTGCATGTCTTTAATACAAGAGTCTGGAGGCAGAGACAGGCATATCTGTGAGTCTGGTCTACAGAGTGAGTTCCGGGACAGCCAGGGCTACACAGAGAAATCCTGTCTCAGGAAAGGGAAGGGGAAGGAGAAGGGAAAGGGGAAGAGAAAGGGAAAAGGAAGAGGGAGGGAAGGGAGTGGAAAAGAAGAAGACGCTCATAAGCATGTCTCTCCCTGCAGGTGCAGGTGTCCGGGGAGGCCCGGGACAAGTCCTACTTACTGCCACCACAGCCCACCAAGCAGTTCCTCATCTCCCCTCCCGCCTCACCCCCAGTGGGGTGGAAGCAGAGTGAAGACGCAATGCCCGTGATCAACTATGACCTGCTCTGTGCCGTCTCCAAGCTGGGGCCAGGTAATGCTCTCTGCTTCAGCTCTCAGTGTCCCCAGACACTGCCGTTCGTGTGAGCCCAGCAACAGCAGCACTGTCCAGTGGACAGTGTGGCCACACCAGTCTGGGCTCACACTTGAGCTGTGCACTTTCCAGCACTGTGGTCCTCAGCCAGTTGGCAAGCCTGGGTTACCTGAGTGTGTTGTAAGGTTAAACACTATATGCAGCTGGGCGTTGGTGGCGCACACCTTTAATCCCAGCACTTGGGAGGCAGAGGCAGGTGGATTTCTGAGTTTGAGGCCAGCCTGGTCTACAGAGTGAGTTCCAGGACAGCCAGGACTACACAGAGAAACCCTGTCTCAAAAAAACAAAACAAAAAAAAAAGACAAAAAAAAACCACTATATGCAGCGTGATAATTTTAGCCATTCAGCTAAGAATTAATACAGCAGGTAGCAAACACACTCGCTGCTTTCTCTCTGCAAGTCAGTCAGCACTGTGTTGATGGCAGCTGCCTCGGGTTACAGTGACGGTGACTTATCACCCGTCCAAAGTTTTTTCTCTCTCTCTCTTTTTCATTTCTTACTTTTTCTCTCTTCTTGCTCTGTCTCCCTTTAATTATGCGAGAAGCTGATTCCCTGCTCTTAAGGTCAGGGCGTCTCTTCTAGGGCACTTCAGAGACTTTTGAGAAGGAGCTCTCTGCTCCTGGATGGTTGGGCTCTTAGACATCAGAGGCCCTACACTGCTGCCTAGAGCCTAGCCATTGCCTCCCACGGCGACCCAGAACCACTATAAATGTAACTAACTCACCGTAGTTATTTGTAGAACAGCAGTTAGCATTTATATTAACTTTTTAATTAGTATTTATGTAATCTAATCAATGGGTTGTCATCTCAGTGAGCACAAAGCCAGAGTAAGCATAGAACGTAAGGGAGAAGAAAGGTTTACTACCTACAGGAAGAGACAGAAGCTCTCTCCAAAGAAAGACCTCCCCAATGAAGCAAGCTTGTGTTCATTCACATAGTGGCAGGCCCCTTGCTGAGCATGCGCAGTTGAAAGTCGTGGGGATGAACATAGTGGGCAGGGCGTGCTGGCGCTCAGCTTGCACCATGAACTTTCACCCGAAAAGAAGAGGGCAACTAAGGTGCTTGCTCACAGGAGTCTGCCCTAAGGTCCCCGAAGTGCTGGGATTTAACTCCCAGGGCCCGGGACAGAAGGGACAGTGTTTTTACAAATGAAATTTCTGCAGGGCATGACGGTACTCAACTTTAACAGCACTTGGGAGACGGATACAGAACAATTAGAGTTCAAGGTCAGCCTCAGCTCCAGCAGCACGTGTCTAACTGGCCCAGATTTCATGGGGCGCAATCTAAAATAATCAACCACTAAGTGAGGGAGTAGAAGAGGAAGTTGGGAGCTAGAAGAAATTCATTCCTTCACTGGGAGTAAGGCTCCCTTCCTGTGCTTGCAGGGGAGAAATACGAACTGCACGCAGGAACCGAGTCCACCCCCAGTGTGGTGGTGCACGTCTGTGAGAGCGAAACTGAAGAGGAAGAAGACACAAAAAGTCCAAAACAGAAAATCACGCAGACGCGACGCCCGGAAGCTCCCACGGCAGCCCTGAGTGAGCGGCTGGACTGTGCGCTGTGAGCCGCCACCGCGGCTGCGCATCCCACTACTACAACCGCGCCCGCTTAGGAGCACGGCCCAGGGATGCTGCGGCATCCATCCGGCAGCTGGGCCAGCCTCCCCAGACCGGAAGGAGGGGTGAAGTAGCAGATTGGACCAGCTGTTTGAAATTTTGAACAGTATTCTAAATGGCACTTTAAGTGACAAGGCTAGCCCCAACCATGTGGCACCTGTCTCCTCTCCCAGAAATATTAGTTCCCTTGAACCTGTAGAGCATTGGGTACCACAGGCCAGAACTAGAGTCACCCAGTGCACTGCCATTTTTACAGATGTAAAAATTAGTCTTAGATTTCTGTACTTTGGTGTGGGTATTTTTGTACAGGTGTGGCAGCGTCTGACAGATTGAGCAAAGGCTGAATGTTACTATTCAGTAGACGTGACCTTTTTTTGCACGAGAAGAAACGTGAAATACAAAGTCATTTGTAGAAATCATTTCTCTCAAGTATTTTTTCACTAGCTTTAGGAATGAAAGGCCAAATGACTGAGGTTGCCAGATCCAGATGGCGTGGGCAGCTGTGCTCCTGGCTCTCCGGGCTCTCCTGACTCTCCCGGCTCTCCTGGCTGTCCCGGCTGTCCATCTTACTTGCCAGTCAGTGACAGTGATGTACAGAACTCTGCTCCAGTGCTACCCTTCCTAGCCTCGGCTCTGCAGAGGAACCTGGCCTTTGCCAGCGGGACGTGTGGTCAGGAAGCTTGGCTGATGACTCTGGAGTTGTAGCCTTCGCGACGGCTCTTCAGTTACTCTCTAGACCCTCCTGATGCTGGCCTGCGACTGCTTGCGGTTTCCTATGCTGTGTGTGTAATCATGGGTGTTAGTTGGTCTTAACTTTAGAAGATAATGATAAAATGGTGAAAACCATTTTAAATTGAGGGAGCTGATTCGTTGTTTTCTTTGAAGACAGGGTTTCACTTTGTAGCTCCCGAGCCTGATCCTCCTGCCTCAACTTCCCAGGCGTGCATCTCAAAGTTTTCCATTCAAGTATTTCAGCTGTTTGAAAACAAAAATCACTGTATTTCCCCCTATGGATTAGGGAGAGGAGTCATTCTTTTGGGGGTGGTTGAGTTTGTTTGTTTGTTTGTTTGGGTTGTTTTGTTTTGAGACAAGGTTTCACATTGTATCTCAGGTTAGCCTGTGACTCATTATGTAGCCCATGCTAGCCTTGAGCCCCAGACCTCTTGGGTGTTCAGATTGCAGGCATGAGCGTGTAGTTCATGCTTCCCTTTTTAACGACCATTTCCACCTTGGCTTGCAGTTGATGTTCAGATAGAATCGCTTCTTACACTTGAAGATGTGTTGTTTGGGGCTTCGTAGGTCACTCAGCATCACCGGTGTGCTAGACTGCAGTCCCTTGCAGAAGGCTGTCCTTCTCGGAGTGGTGCGCCCGCCTGCATACGCACACACGTTTTCAGTCTTATTAAAACAGCGTCTCATGTCCTCCAGGTTGACCTCAAGCTTGCTGCATCCCACGGATGGCCTTGAACTCCTGCTCTTCCCACCGTCTCCTAAGTGCTAGGACTGCAGGGGTGTGCCGCCATACCTAACAACAACAGGAGAGGTGTCCCTTGCCTTCAAATCCTGTCAATTGTGAACTCTGCATTTGCCTTTTGGAAGCCTCGGTCTAGGTTCAGTTGAAGATGACGGTTCCGTCCACACTTCTTTGTGGATCCAAGTCATCTGCCTGATAAAGTCATTACTCACGCGTTTTGTTTTGAGGTGATGTCTCACAGTGTTGCCCAGGTCGGTCTCAAACTCCAGGCTTCAGTGGGTCTTCCCAGTTGACAGGATGCAAGCACAGGCCCCTGTGATCCTGGAGCCTTTGGAGGCGAAGGCAGTAGCTGAGGAATTCCAGGCCATCCTTGGCTACACAGTGTTCTGCATTGCTGAGCTCAGCAGTTTGCTTCTTTTGATTGTAGGATAAACCCTAGCTGCCAGCACTCAACAGTTGGGGAGTTTTGTGTTCCCCATTAAACGATACATGATCTAATTTTCTAAGTAATCATAACCCAGTTTTTAAATTCGTCTTGGCCTCCAGTTTCTACCCACCACTTAAAGAATATCTATTGCTTTTTTTTTTTAAGTCACGAAGTTCAAATCTGCATACATAATGTTACCTTGGTCACAGGCAGTTGTGTTAGCACCTTATGAGGAGTTCCCTGGATATTCACATTCATGCAGTTAGAATGTCAACAGTCGTTGGTAAGGGAGGACCCAGGCTCAAAGAATGCATGGAGTTAAAGATTCACTGTGGGACTCCCTCTCCCTTGGCTTAGAAAATCAAGTTCTATTCAAGATTAATGCTGGGCTTTATATTTTTATGTAAACTATTTTTAGACCCGATTTAGTTTTGTGAGGAAAGCTTTAAGCGTCGCTAAACCCTGGGAGTGTACCAGATTCTTTGATGCCTTGGGTTCATGCCTGCTTGCTTGCCTTCTTTTCTCAGACCTTACCTACTAGGTGAGCTTGGTCACTGTCCACCTCCCTCTGTGTTCCCTGATACTTCTGTCTTAAAGGAAACAGTGTCTGATGTGGTGGCACTAGCCTGTAATCTCAGCCTGCAGGAGGCTGAGGCAGGAGGATTGAGAGAACAAGGCTAGGCTGGGTTACCTGAGTTAAACCCTTACAGAATAAGATATTTTCCTTCTCTTGATGTGACAGTACAGAGGAACAGAGGTCCTGGGGAGATATTTACTTCTAGCCTAGAAGTCTGTGTTCTGGAGACTTATTCTACACAAATGAATACGATGTAGGAACTTTGAACAACCACATGGCAAATGACTATCATGTTTCCAACCCCCCTGGTTGTGTTCTCCAGAGCAACCCTCCTCCTCAGAGTGCCACAGTTTCCCTCTGTCTTGAGCAGAGCACAGATCACAGTCAGGATTACCAAATGCATTCATCATGATGGCATAGCCTGTCATCTCAGTGCTTGGGTGGCAGAGGTATGAGGACTTTGTAAGTTTAAGGCCAGCCTGGGCCATGTACCAAGACTCTATGTCATCAACAAGAGGGTTACTGGGTGTACAGGTGGCCCATTGACAGATAACAGTGACTGTCACATCTCTGGCCATGGCTGGCATCCGTATTCCCTGTGGTTTCTAGTCAAGGCTAGAAGTGATCTCAGATAAGGTCAGCATGCAGACACCTACTGACTCAGATTCGTGCTTTCTCTTAGAAGCCTGCAGTTCTTGAAGTGGGTTCTGAGACCCTTGCAGGTCCCACGTGGCCTGGACTGCATGTGCATTCTTGACATAAGGAGGATTTCTTTTCTATCTATGCAGATAACTTGTGGTTTTCTGTACTGTTCCCTGTTGGTATCCACTCTTCCTAAGTCAGATTGAGGATTCCCGTGCCGTGCTGTGCCCTCTCCAGTCAGCCCCTGAGTATTTATCCACGTCCCTTGTGTCTTTGACGTGTGAGAAAGCGTTCGCAGCCATTGCACATTGATCTTCATAACAGCCTGCAGCTGGATTAGTCTCAAGTCCGACATGTCTGTAGTCCCCGGTCCTGTGAACTGTAGTAAATCCTCGCTGCACTTGTGGAAACTGGTCAGTGAGCGTCGTCCGTGGGTCCCAGGATTTCAGTATGCTTGCCGTGATGGGCTGTAGTTCATTATCAGTGTCCACTGTCCTGTCTCCTAAGGATTTCTAACATTCCTTGTCCTGTAAGGAGGTGACAAAGACAGACTGTAACTTGGAGGACACTTGTGGATTACCTGTAACAAATTTCGATGTTGAACTAATAAAAAGTTGTTGTTTTTTAAGTCAGTTCATTGAGCAGTCTCTTCAGTGTGTATCCTAGGATTAACCAGACAATAATACAGAAGACAGGAAAGCTCTGCTGACAGTAGTCCTACGGTGCGTCAGTGCTGCCCTGGGCCACTCATTAGTGTGCTCACACACAACAGAGAACCCTGCAAGTCTACGCCACCAGACAAAGCTCTGCCTACTTTACTCAATTTTTATTTTTTTATTTTTATTTTTTTTGTTTTTTTTTTCGAGACAGGGTTTCTCTGTATATTTACTCAATTTTTAAAAAAAGATTTATTTATTTTTATGTATATGAGAACACTGCAGCGGTCTTCAGACACACACCAGAAGAGAGCATGGGATCCCATTACAGATGGTTGTGAGCCACCATGTGGTTGCTGGGAGTTGAACTCATGACCTCTGGAAGAACAGTCAGTGCTCTTAACCGCTGAGCCATCTCTCCAGCCCCTACATTACTCCTTAGCTAAGAGGATTTACTGCTGGGGAAGAACAACAAATTAATAACTCCACAACAGTATTTAAACCAGAAGTGGCTGTGAGTTCTAATTCTGTTGTTTTCTTTTGCTTTTGAGATAAGGTCTCAGCCCAGGCTACCCTCAGTCTTTATGTAGCCTAGACTGGAATTCCTAATCCTCCTACCTCCACCTCAGGATGGTGGGACTAAAGGAGTATCCTAACATGCCCTGCTGCTAATACTTTTAAATCTGTCTGTCTGTCTGTCTATCTATCTACCTACCTACCTATCTATCTATCTATGTGTATGGGTATTGTGGTTGTTTGTATATGCTTGGCCCAGAGAGTGGCACTGTTAGGAGGTGTGGCCTTGTTAGAGGAAGTATGTCACTGTGGGCGTGGGCTTTAAGACCCTCATCCTAGCTGCCTGGAAGTCAGTCTTCTCCTAGCAGCCTTCAGATGGAGATGTAGAACTCTCAGCTCCTCCTGCATCATCCCTGCCCGGATGCTGCCATGTTCCCATCTTGATGACAATGGACTGAATCTCTGAACCTGTAACCCAGCCCCAATTAAATGTTGTCCTTTATAAGAGTTGCCTTGGTCATGGTGTCTCTTCACAGCAGTGGAAACCCTAAGACAGGCCACCCCCCCCCCCCCCCCCGTCTGTCTATCATCTGTCTGTCTGTCTGTCTGTCTGTCTGTCTATCTGTCTATCTGTCTATCTGTCTATCTATCTATGTGTATAGGTGCTTTGTGCTCATGGACCTCTGTGCACCAGATGTTTGCCTGATGCCTGTGGAGGCCAGAGGAGGCCTCCTGAAACTGGAGCTACAGATCATGGTGAGTGCTGGAAGAACAGCCAGTGCTCTTAACTGCTGAGCCGTCTCTCCAGCCTGGAGCACTTACTTTGAGCTATGCAAATTTCTTTTCAACTTATTGAACTGTGCTTGTTTATTTTTGCTTTTTGAGACAAGGTCTCACACAGCAGTAGCTCAGGCTGGCCTTAAACTCACTGTACAGACCAAGATGACTTTGAACTCCAGACTGCACCCCCCAGGTGCTGGGATTAAAGATGGATACTACCATCCCCGCCCTTTTTTGTTCTGTTCATATAGAATCTTATATAATATAAAATGTATTTTGGTGATTAAGGACTAGAGAGATGGTCCAGTGGTGAAGAGCACTGGCTGCTTTTCCAGAGGACCAGGTTCCATTTCCAGTCACCCACATGGCAGCTTACTACCATCTGTAACTCCAGTTCCACAGGATCCGAGGCACAGCACACAGGTGGTATACACACCTTCATGCGGGCAAGACAGCCATGCACATAAAATAAATCTCAAAATAATAAATGACTCTTTAAAAATAGGAGCCAGGCATGATGGCCCATGGCTTTAATTCCAGCACTAGGGAAACAGAGGCAAGTAGATCTCTGAGTTCAAGGCCAGCCTAGTCTACATAGTGAATTCCAGGACAGCCAGGGCTACATAGTGAGACCTCATCTTAATTAAAAGTAAGCAGCTGCTCTGTTTGGGAATGGAAAGGAACAGAACCCCCAATGGGGGAAGGTAGCACCCCAAATCCCAAGCCCCCAGCCCCACCCTCTCCCCACTCACCTTTACCAGAAGACACCAGAGGCAATTGCCTACATCTCAGCTGGTCAAAATCAACGTGTTACTGGACTGCACAGTTGAATCTTTTTTTCTAGTGCTCTGATCTCTGCCTGACAGAACTCTGTAATCCTTCTGGAAGTATGTCAGGACTCAAAGGTTCTTTATACAGTTTTGAATAAAATGAACACAAAACAAGCAGGTGGTTTCCACTTCCTTGGCTGCCTCTCCAGCCTGTTCCTGGGAGCTGCCACCAGGTGGCACCATGCTTCCAGGTTGGGGCCTTGAGCTCTGCTTAAGGCTCTGCTATAACCTGGAGTTCAAAAGGAACTTAGCAAGTAGGTTTAGTGCTTAGCGTGCTCTGGGCCCCAAGTTTAATCCCCACCATCCTGACAACACCGCTCCTTTCCCCCCCCCCCCCGGAAATCGCTATCATCAGGACAAAATTAGTGCAAACTGAAAAAGCACTACAAACAAAAAATATATATATATATATATATTTTTTTTTTTTTTGAAAACACAGGCTAGCCAGGCATTGGTGGCACACGCCTTTAATCCCAGCACTTGGGAGGCAGAGGCAGGCAGATTTCTGAGTTCGAGGCCAGCCTGGTCTACAGAGTGAGTTCCAGGACAGCCAGGGCTACACAGAAACCCTGTCTCGAAAAAAAAAAAAAAAAAAAAAAGAGAGAGAGAAAGGAAGAAAGAGAGAAAGAGAAAACACAGGCTAGATAGAGGTCTGAGGTGTGACTCAACTGCTTTCCTAACTTGCACAAGACCCTGTGTTAGCTCCCCAGCTCCCATAACCAGGTACCACGGATGGCCCAGGCCTATAATCCTAACACTTCTGAAGAAGGAAGATCAGGAATTGAAGGTCATCCTCAGCTACACAGCAAGTTTGCTGTCAGCCTGGGCTCCATGAAACTGTGTCTCCAAATAACAAAACAATACAGGGTAGGGCTACATGTGACCATGCACGGCTAAAAGCTCAGCTCTTTGGATCTGGAGTCAGGAGGATCTGTTCAAAGTCACCCTCAACTATAGATGTACAAGTTTGAGGCTAGCCTGTGCTACATGAAATCCTGCCTCGAAAAGCACATACTAGAATATAAAAACGAAGGTCTAACTTCAAAGTTACCCTCCTGAAAATAAGCTGACTTCACAGCTCCTCAGTGTGTGTCAGAGTTCTGCTAGCACCAGACAGAACCATTAATATCAGTGCTGAGAGGTGCCCGTGTGCACACGCAGCCCTGACCCCTGATGGCTGTCACGGGGAAGACACGGGGAAATCCCACCAAGGTTCCTCTGCTCTTCCAAGGCAAAGAACCTGGAAGCAGAAGTGCTCTGAATGTTAGATCACTGTCTATTGCTGTGAAGAGACACCATGACCAAGGCAGCTCCGATAAAAGAAAGCGTACAACTGGGTGGGGGTTTCAGAGTTTAGCCCATGATCATCACGGTAGGGAGCACGGTGGGAGCACGGTGCCATGAAGGGAGACCGGCTGGAGAAGCAGCTGAGAACCAGCTCCTGGTCTGCAGGCAGGAGAGAGACGTAGACAGAGATAGACTCACACAGAGAGACAGAGGTAGACGCTGGGCCTGGTGTGGACGTTTGAAACCTCAAAGCCCACCCCATCGACAGGACACACCCACTCAATAAGCCCACGCCTCCTAATCCTTCTAATCCCCAGACAGTCCTGCTTCCTGGTGACTGAGCACACAAGTATTTGAGCCTATGGGGAATTGTCATCCAAACCACAGCGGGCGTTGAATCTGTATTATCTAGGGGAGTTTGTGGCCTGAAACGTTCAGAAAGATCAGTTTCTCTATTACAGTGCTTCTAGAACCTTCTAATTCCATACAGTCTCATTTGTTGGGAATACAGTGGTCTATCCATGAGGACAAATTCTCTGAGAAATGCTTCAGTAGGTAATAGCTAAGACAACCATACCACCACTAGGAAGTATGCCCAGGGCTGTCATCCCGTATGCCCCATCACTGGCTCACATATGGAGGGATGCGGCACACTGCCGCCCTGGGTCTCTCAAATGTCATGAGCCTCAGAGCCTGCCTTATGGCTGTGATAAAGTACCTGACTAAATGACTTAAGGAAGAAAAGTTTCATTCCTAGCTCACAGTTCCGTGTTACAATCCATCATGGCAGAGAGATCAAGACAACAGGATCTTGAAGCAGACAGTCGCACTATGTCCCAATCAGAAGATGGCAATGAATGCATGTGTGTGAGTGCTCCATTCGTGGGAGTGCTCCATTCGTGGGAGTGGGCGTGCTCCACACAGAGGAGTGCTCCATGCATGCTAATGTTCCAGTTGCTTTCTCTACTCTAAACAGTCCAGGATTCCCTGCCTAGGGAATGGTCCTGCCCACAGCTGAGACGGCTCTTCTCAAGTCAGTTGGTGTAAGCAAGATAATCCTCTTGCTCTGACTGAGATTGTAACAGCTAGACTCGAACTAGGGTTATCTGGGAAGAGGAATCTTAGCTGAGAAAATGCCTCCACCCAACTGACGGCCTATTCCCCATTCCCTGGGCAAGTGGTCTTGAGGTTTATAAAGAAGTCAGGCTGAGCAAGCTCTGGGGAGCAAGCCAGACACAAGCTGATCTTGAAAACAGCGGAGCGGCCGTATGGTGACCCAGGCTTATAATCACAGCACTTAGGATGTGGAGGCAGGCGGGTCAGGAGTTCAAGGTCGTCCTGAGCATAAGAGACCCCGTCTAAAAAACAAGAATGCTTTGTAGCAAAAGTGGACGTGAGGGCTGGAGAGATGGCTCAGAACTTCCTGCCACATGTCTGCTGTGGCACAAATATTAATAATGAGGAAGGCACATTTTTAAAACTGTCAAAAAACGGGCTGGAGAGATGGCTCAGTGGTTAAGAGCACTGACTGCTCTTCAAGAGGTCACGAGTTCAAATCCCAGC